CATTATTGATACGGGAATAATAAAAAAATAGTTAGAAAAAAATAAAATAAAATAGTAGTTTGGAAAATCGGAGATAAAATATAATAAACAAAAAAAAAAAAATTCTGTACGAATGTACGAAAATTGTACGAAATTGTACGAAAATTGTACGAAGTACATTCGTACAGTGTACGACCTCATCAAAATGCAACTGTACTAAATTGTACTGAGTACGTCGTACAATGTACGAGTACTGTACTTGTACGAAGATTTGGCTCGTACACCACATTTGGACAACCCTGACTATATTAATGTTTTACCAGATTAATTTTTTTTAACTTCTTAAATTAATAATGCATATTACTATTTTAACATATTTTCTCTTTATTCTAAAAATAAAATTTTCTTTTTCCATAAATTTCTTCACATGGGTTATTCACCAAATCTTTTCATGATAATTTTATTTTGCTTGATCTTAATGTGTTCTTCAAGTCACACCTTTTCTCTATATAAGATCTCACTTTCTATTCTCTTTTATTTCTCTTTACTTTTTTTCATTACAAATTTCACTTTTACACCTTCCATAAATCTTCACATAATATTTTCACTATGATTTCCTGTTGCTCTGCTTCATCAAATAAAAAGTTCCAAATTCATTACAAAGCTTAAAAGCTTTGCATAAAACAAAAATAAATCATCTTGAGGGTGGGTATCATATGCAAGGTTTCTAAGATATCTCTTTAATGAGGTTTAACTGTAGACAAAATTTCAAACTTATGTTCCAGTTCTTTAAATGGTTAATCTTTTGGCCTGTAAATGGGGTACTTGTACCTCCAGGACTAGTCTTGAATGAAAAGTATATAATTAATTCAACTTTATCAATTAATGTTTTTAAAATATGAAATAAGAATAGTTAAAGGGCTAAGAAAAATAAAGCAATGCTACCTTGGTTTGTATTGAATGAAGTTGTCAAAGATGAACTAATAAGTGATGATTTGAAGTTAACAATCTATCAATATGAATGATTCCAAGTTTATTTGTCCTTATTAAATCCAATCTTATTAAATCAATGTATTAAGTTAATTTTATTTTATATATGATAGAATTAAATTTTTCAATATCCGATTGACTTGTTCATATTTGTGACTTTATGAGGTATTTCACAAATGCATAAAGTGCAAATATCAGTTTCCTTTAGCAATTTATCTAAAATCCAATGAATTCAAGTATTTACTATATAGGCCTTATAAAAATTATACAATTATTTTTGAGAATAATTGTATTCATTTTGTATATTTGGCTATTTGTATATATTGTATGTATAATAAAAAACTACCAATTGCAATAATAATTAAGAAGTATTAAATAAAGTCTCATTATTATAAACTAGTGTACTTTTGGATATAGTAAGTGAGTTTATTTTTGAAAGTATACTAATAAATTTATAAAAGATTTTTTTATAACAATAGATTGTGTTAGTGAGATTTATAAAAAAATTTTCTATGATTTTTTTTTAATAACAATATATTGGTAATAGACAATTAACTTATTAACTGAAGTTAATAATTGTTTTTAGTAAGATTTTTTCTATAGTTCACAGTAACACTAATATTACTGATAAGTAGTATAAATAAAACAATAGATAACATTTAATAAGGTTAATAAAAAAATTTTCCAAGATTTTTTTAATGGTATAGTACAATAGATAGATATAATAAAATTTTCTGAGATTTATATTAATAACAATAGGTATGCTAAATTTTTGGTGATTATTTTTTTTTTAATAACAATAATAGATTGGTATCATAGTACAATGGATGGTATAGTACAATGGATAGATTTAATAAAATTTTTTGTGTTTTTTTTTAATAACAATAGATTGGTAATAGACAATAAAAAATGTTGCAAAAACATTAAAAACTGAACTGATAATGAATTGGCAAATCAAATTGGTTTTCAATAATTACTAGTCGCAGTAATAATTGTCTATTACCAATCTATTGTTATTAAAAAAAAGTCACCAAAAATTTTATCATACCTATTGTT